TTGAGGTTGCTGTGAGCTAGGCTGACGCCACGGCACTCACTCAAGCCTAGCCCAGGCGACAGAGTGAGACTCTGTCTCAAAAAAAAAAAAAAAGGGCTACTGAAATATGCCTAGTAATGCCTTTTGTAGACTTGTAGACTTGCTTTTTCTCCATCTGGGAGTAATGTCTTTATTTCAAGGAATAAGAGCACCTCATTCCTTTTTCATGTGATAACATTCTCTGATGAGGTCTTTGAGTTGCCCATTAAGCAATGATGGGCTTTGGGTTGGTGGTTTTGGGGCGAGTGTGCTATTTCACTTTCTTTTTTCACTCTCAAATATAAAAAGAATCCAGGTTCTACTGCTGAGTTATTTGGGGGACTGTTTGCACTTTCTTGTTTGTGTCTGAGGGACAGCTAAGATAGAGAAAAAACCAAGCTAAATTGAAAATGGTATAGTTATTGCTGAAAATGTCTCCCACCATTTAATTCCTTCGTGTGCTACTGCCTAAAAAGTCTTCTTCCTTCCCAGTTCCACACCGGTGTTTTTCAGGACTCAGTTCAATTTACATAGCTGGGCAGAATGTGGGAGCTGTATGTTTACCATGTGAATGTGAGGCCACCGAGAAGATTATTTTGTTTTTCTGATCTCTTGACCTCTGGGAAGCTCCCATCAACCCCGTCTCCTCCCACCTTCCACCACACTATAAATAAAAGCCAACTCATAGGCACTCCCTTGGACGTAGCTGCTTCTTAAATCTCTGAATCAATTTGTTAATCTCAAATGGCTGTAAAAATAAAAAAAAAAAAAACCCTGAAAAGTAGCTAACAGAGGGGAAAAAAAAATTGAAACAAATTCTTGGATGACTTTGAAGCTAGGATGCTTGGGGAACATTGTTGTTTGTTGAGGGATTAGAGTCAGCAACATCGTGTCCCCCAGCAAGACAGAGGACAGCTTTGAATTATAGCCAGGAAGGAGCCATAGTGTGTTTTTGGAAGGTGGTGAAGGCCAATTTTTTCCCTTTAAATAGCTGACAGTTCAGAGCCCCCACCCCCCTGAGAGCACCAGGGCCAGAAATTATGCAATTTGTTTGGAATTCTCCCTCAACAGTCCTAGTCTGAGGGTAAGGCTAGGTTGTGGACATTTGGAGCTTTCTGAATTGTCTTGACAAAATCGAATTCATTGGGTGTTCTGTGACCGTCAACATTGTTTTGGTTATATAGACCAAGTGTTCTGGGCACAGATCCAAAACTTGTACATGGAGATCAGCCTCAGAAGGCAGCTTGAGGATCTTTGAAAAGTACTGAAATAGGGCAAAATATTAGACAATATGCCATATTTTAAATGTTACATGTCCGTATATATATTTATCTATGTATTTAATTCACAGAAAGGAATGGCACATATACCATAAATAAGATAGAAATCTACTTTATGCAGAGTTAATTGGATGATGCCCTAATTTGATGATACCCACACGACTCAATAATTCAGTTTGGGGCTTTCTCTACTTCTTTTTATTCTTTTCATTTTAAAAAACTATTTATATGATTTTGAGGAGTTTGTTAAAATTAGCTGATATTTTAAGA